ACACACACACACACACACACACACACACACACACACACACAAAATCTTTGTTTTAAAGCAAGAGAGAAAAACAGAGAAAGACCTTGTCTCAAAATGACCGAGAGAGAGAGAGAGAGAGAGAGAGAGAGAGAGAGAGAGAGAGAGCAATGAAATACAACGGAGAACCTAGAAGAAAACTAAGGTCAATGCCAACTATCTGTTCTTTAACTTCAACAATGCAGGAAGAAGAAGTAGACAAATGAACACTAAACAAAAATCTGTGCAACAAAAGTGTGCTGGATAGCTTTAGCTGTCACCTTGACACACGTGGGTAGAAAGAGCCTCAATTGGGGAATTGCCTCCATTGAAATGGCCTGTGGCATGTCTATGGGGTATTTTCTTGACTGCTGAGTGATGTGGGAGGACCCAGCTCACTGTGGGTGGTACCACCCCTGGGAAGGTGGTCTCGTATTATGTAAGAAAGCAGGTTGAGCATGGGCCAGGGGACCAAGTAAGCAGCATTCCTCCAGGGCTTATGCTTCAGCTCCTGCCTCCAGGTTCCTGCCCTGAGTTCCTACCTTGGGCTCTCTCAGTGATGAACTGTGGCCCAGGAGATGTGAGCCAACGAAACCCTTTCCTCCCCAAGTTGGTATTGGTCAGAGTGTTTTGTCACAATAATTGAAAGTAAACTAGAACAAAAAGTAACAATTAACAAAGTAAAGAGGTAACCCACAGACTGTGAGGAAATAAAAATTTGCACACTATGTATCTGCAAAGGGGTTAATTAATAACCAGAATATACAAGAAAAATCAATCTTACAATTCATATAAAACTACACAAAAACACTAACATAAACCTCCAAAACCAAAACAAACAAATGGTAAACAAAGCAAATAGATAAAGCAATATTGAGTAAAAGCCTCCCAAACACAAAGCATTACACTGCTTGAGAAATACACGTTAAGAGCTCTAGTAATCCAACTAATATGGGGGAGGGGGCTTGAGATGTAGCCCAGTTGGTAGAATACTTAGCTAGCGTTCCTAAGGTGTTGGGTTCAATCGCAGTATCATGTAAAACTGGGAATAGTGGTACATGTTTCTAATCCCAGCACTAGGGAGGTGAAGGCAGGAGGACCAGAAGTTCAAGATCATCTTCAGCTATATAGCAACTTGGAGGTCAGCCTAGGCCACATGAGACTTCATCTCAAAAATAGAAACATACACATATATCTTTATACAAAATCCCCAAACCAGTGTGGTACCAGCTGTGATAGTTCACACCAGTAATCAACAAACTGAAGAGAATATGGTAGGGGGATTATGAGTAGGGCCAGATTGGCCTATACTTTTTGTCCAGACATGGTAGCATATGCCTGTCATGTGGAAACTGGGTAGGATGATTGTAAGTTGGGGGTCACCCTAGGCTATATAGCAAGACCCTGTCTTCAAAGAGCAAAATCAGTTAACAAAAGCAAAAAACAACAAAGGCTGGGATGCTGCCTCAGTTGGTAAAGTGCTTGCTGCACAAGCATGAGGACCTGGGTTTGGATCCTTAGCATGCATGTAAAGAGTCAGGTGCTGTGGTGTTTACCATGCCTGTTAAAACCCGGAGAAGCAGAGACAGGTTAATCCTGGAGCTTGCTGGCCAGCCAGCCTAGCTTGAATATGTAAGCTCCACCTTCAGCGAGAGACCAGGTCTCAAAAAATAAGGTAGAGCATGACGGAAGACATCTGATTTTAACCTCTTATCGCTAAACAATTGTGCATGTGAATATGATGTGCAAACACAGACCCCCACACAAAACTAACACAGCAGCAGCAAAAGTCCCATAGAATGGCACAGAGACTCATGGAACAATGAGCAGAAACAAAAAATAGAAGGAAATGATTAAAAATTGTATAATAGACCTAAATAGATATTTGTCAAGGAATAACATACAAAGGGGCAGGATACATATGAACAAATGTTCACCATCATTACTCACCAGGGAAATTCAAGTTGGAATCAGATGAATTATCACCTGATTCGAGGTAGAGTAGCTACTATGAAAAATATAGATACTGGATGTAGAAAAAAAGGTGGTGACGTAAATTACTACAGCCATTATGGGAAACAGTAAGAAAGTTCCATTAAAAGTTCAAAAGCAAAACTGCCATAGGATCCAGCAGTCTCACTACTGGGCATATCAACAAAGAAGCTGGAATCAGTATCTAAGTGTCCATCAACTGACGAATGGCTGCAGATGTGGTATGTATGCTATACAGAATACTAATCAGCTATACACACACACAAAACGATGAAATCCTGTCACATGTGACACTATAGATTGAACTGGAGGTCATTATAGTAAGTGAAATAAGCCAAGAAGAGTGGTAAGTGATGTTTGACCTCACTCACATGTGCAATCTAAAGAAGTTGTTTTCACTGCAGCTGAGAGCGGAACACTGGTCTGAGGCAGCACAGAGCAGTGGGGAGAGAAGGGGAGCCAAGGGTCATGTATTAGTGGATACTAGGTCATAGTTCCACTAAACATTGGAGTGCCACAGGGTGACTACAGATAATGAAAATGCATAAGTATTTTTCAAGGAAGCTGAAGGAAGGACATTTGAATTTTTCACCATAAAGAGATAAGAAACGTTTGAGGAGATTGAGATGTTTACCCTATTTCAATATTATACAATGTTTATGTGGATCAAACATCGCATACCCCAGATATATGGATATATAATTTTTATGTATTTTATTTAGTTATGTATAAGTTTGATTTATAAAAATTAACAATTGTTAAAGTATTAACAAACATTTTTGGTAGGACATTTATGCTTGTGCAATTCCTTTGGAGAGCAACTCTTGCAAATGGAATGTATATCCTAGCCAAGTGCAAACCACTTGCTGACTATTATCTCCTCAAATGAGGGGCTTAGTCTAGACACTAACATAATCTGTTAAAATTAGGTTTAAACCCCTTCTAAAACAAAGATTGGTTCATTTCATATATTAATAATATGTAGTAGGTGAAAATGATAAACTTATTGCAATCTCATTAGTAGTAGACAGTAATTAAATTTCATTCATAGTCAACTCTCTGGTGTGGCCAGATTGCAAGATATTATTTTGACATACATATGAGCAGAGAGGAATCAGGATACAAGTGAAACCAAATGAAGGACAATCAAATACCTTTCTTATGCTCAGACTCATTCACAAGCTAAATTTGTTTCAAATACTAATGTTCATAGAAATAGGTACTCATGTACGCACACATGCATCTGTGCGGAATGCCCTACTGTGTCTTGGTTCTGGGGCTGGAGCAGCTTGGGACAGAGCTACCGATCCAGGATAAACCACTGCTATGCAGTGAGTTCAGAGCTGCCTGTTACACCAACACCAAATTACTACGAAATAACCTTCTTTTCTATACTGTCACCAGCATGGTGAGGGACATTATACTCAGTATCCTACTTTAAATTGTTTTACAATTTTCATTTATTCATTGTGTGCCTGCACAGTGTGTGTATGGAGGTCAGGGGACAACATGCAGGAATAGGGACTCTCCATAAACCATATAGATTCCAGAGATCAAACTCAGGTAGTCAGCCTTGACAGTAAGAGCCCTTACCTACAGAATCATCTCGCCAACCCATATAATGATGATATTCTAGAGACTTAAGCCTTTGTTGTAGTAATAGGCAGCAAAATAACGATCTGAGCAGTGCTATTGATCACATTCCCTCCATTAGTCTTTCTACTGATGCTTTCAGCACTCTGAGTCCTGGGATATGCCGAGCATAAGCAAGGGAGAGAATAATGGAAGAAACGGCTCTGGGCATGCATGGTGGTCTCTGTGCAGCAAAACACTGTGATCCTGTGTGTCAAATTCACCAGCAGAAGTAGGGCAGGATCACCACTTCATAGGAAAAACAACAAATATGGGCCAGGACATGCCAGGCCTGGGTCTGACTTGAGGTTCCATCTAGTCACTAGTGATGTACCTCTCCCAAGTAGCTCTACGTTCCTGGGTCTGTATTCCTATCAGAGGGTAGCTGGTTAGAGCTACTGGCTTTCCCAGTAGGCACTGCGACTTCAGAGCTCTGTCAAAGTGAGTGGCTTTTGGATGAAGAATTTTTAGATCAATTTCCCAGAAATCTCTGATCCAACCCAGTCCTCTCCCTGAAATGTGCAGAAAGCCTTAAAATTTTTCTGAAAAAAAAAAAAAAAACTGAAATCATTTTTTTTTTTTTTCAGGAAGAAAACTCAGGAATTTGAAGAAAAGCCCAAGAGGAGAGGTCAAGAAGCCCTCGGGAAGGAGATGGGACTGCCTTACAAGCAAGTACCGGTCAAGGATCTGAAAGGTAGACATCAATTTCCTAAGAAATTGTGGAAGGACAGAAGCAAGCTCTTATCCCTGTAAACTGTCACTACGGATGGAGGCAGAATGGAAAGAGAAGGAGCAGAAGCCGAGACACCTGAAGGTTGCGTTGAGGCAGATACATTAACCTCCTCCAGGGAGCTGAGTTAGGTGCAGTTTCATGGACTAAAGAAACCTGCTTGAACATCCAGCAAAATAAATCTCAGTACAGAGTGCAGTCCATTAACACACCCTGGAAAATGACTTTGGAATCACACCAATTCACTCTCTAGTACTGCTCAGAGAAAAAAGATCTGATGTAAAGAAGAAAAACGATTAACAAAAAAATCAAAGACAAAAACAGACAGCCAAAGTATCCAAATTTCTTCAGTTGTGTTTTTTTGACTGTTGAAATTAATTATGTATGCAATAATGAAGAAAATATAGTCACTTATACAGGCTAACAAAGGCTAGCCCACTTAAGAGATAAAGTACACTTCCAGGGAAAGGCCTAAGTTGGCTTTAAAATGACAACAAGCAGAGTGAGTTCGATTCTATATTCATATAAATGAGTTGTCTTATGCTAGAGAAACAGAGGAAACAGTTTTACTCACCTCTCTTCCCTGAGGGATTCCAAGAATTTGAAGCATAAGTGGAACAGAAAAATGCCACTGTGTTACACAGTATTTCATAAAGAAGCTACCAGAACAGTTCTCTGTTTCATTTCAGCAGAGAGCAGGGTGATATTTCTGTGCTATGACTGTTTCATGTTGTAGATTCAAAAACAAATAATGTCTATATTTTAATTGTGTTTGATCCATCATATATTAACAAGCATTTTTAGTGACTGCATTGACTATATTAAAAACATTAAATTTTAGTTTCTATAGAATGTATGGGATTATTAGATGTACCTATGTAGCTGAAATACTACAATTAGATATTATATATATCTTTTTTTAATTTAGAAGGTCTAATTCTCTGATGCTGATCCCTTTTAGAAGAAGACAAAGACAAAACATACCTACATTTTATAATATGATCATTTCATTGTAGCATGGAGATGATGCTAGCCCAGAAAATATCCTCCTGGGAATTCATTTCAAATTATTGAAGCAGCTGTTTCTTCAGTTTAAAATAAAATATCCATAACAAGTTCACACATGACAGATGCAAGCTAAAAACTAGATTCCACAGTGTGAGCTAAAAACAGATGTTTTGAATGATCATATTTATAACCAGCTACAATAAATCTTAGTTACCTATAGGAGGGGTTCATGAATACCTGTTTCCAAGAATTTGCTTAAAATACAGATCCTGTAGCTTCTTATATTTTTCAAAACTAGACTCCATTAAACATAAATATTCTAAAATTTGCATGTATCTTGTCTTTTTTTCTTCTTGTTCATTTAATGTGCTGCCTCAAGAATAAAAACACTTTTAGGATACTAAAGTTTATTATATTTATTTTATTCTATATATTTCCTCTTTTCAACTCAAAACCAGGGAACCACTTTGTAAATAGACTCACAACTACAAAAAGGAGAATTTTAAGTCTTAAAATGGTGAAAGGTCACTAGGCAGCTAAAACTTAAGAATATTGGTTGAGAATGTGGCTCCAGGGTAGAGTCCAGGGTAACATGTTCAAGGACCTGGGTTCCAGTCCACCACAGCCAAAAGCAACCAAAGGTTTAGTGAAAACAAAGAAAAGTTTGATAGAAGAGGGAAGACAGAGTCAGTGGTTACACTTAAGATTATTTTCAAGTGTAAAGATTGTTACAATATTTTTAATGTTTACTGACTTATATTTTCATAGTAAAATTATCATATCATAGGGACAAAAACAACTGGTTTGGCATCAGAAGATGGGTGTATACCAGCTCTGCTTACTATTGTTTATGTGTCACAATAGTTACGTGTCCTGGGAACAGATCTCATAAGCTTTCCTTACTCTATGACTATTGTCAAAGTAGATATGAAAGTATACACACACAAACACCCCCCCCATAGTTGCTTTACAATACAGGAGTTCTATTCCCAGGATGTGCATATATTTGCCCAGATGCATACTGACACTGGTCCGAACACCTTTTTCTGTGCTGCTCCCTGTGGCAAGGCCTTTGGGAGGGCTTTACACTGTCCTAAGACGTCACCTCAGCATGATGCTCCTCATTCTGCTGTAGGACTTCTATGCAGAGCTCTGCGAGATGGAGAACCTCTTCCAGCTTCTTGGCAGGAGTTGCCTGGTTCATGGTCTCTATATATAAAACAAAACAATAGTGTTAGTTTGAAAATACAAAGCCAAACATGTCCTAGGATGTAATGATGAGATCAGAGTATTGAAACAACACAAGAAAGCATATTTTTGAGATAAGGGATGCAAGGAACACAATTGAATAGTGGTTTTTTTTTTTTCTGTTGTTGTTGTTTGTTTTTTTTTTTTTTAAAGCTGGTTCAACAGATTGCAGAAACTGCTTCACCCACAAAGCAATCACAGGGATCTGTGAGTGCTTTGCCATTTAGTATACAAGAACTAACAGGTGCAACAGCACATTAGATGCTCAACTTCTGCAACAAACAGGTTATAATTCTCCTCAAGGTCAGAAACACAAAAGAGAGCAGATACCACAGTCTTTTCCTTCTCTCTGCATTGTATTATCAGTACAATACCATTTTCACCAGATGAGCCACTCGGCATTAGCGAATCCCAGGCTTTTTTGTTGCTATTTAAATTCTCAGCTTGATGGTTTATAGTTCCTGTTGATCTTAAATTCAAGAAGTACAAAGTCACCTAAACAACTCTGACAGCCTGCAATTAACTGATTTCCTCCCCTGCATGCCTGCCTTCATTTCAGCCTACTTCTAAATGTGGGGGTGGAGGGTTAGAGAAGGGCAGAAGCATTCTTTGAAGTTGAAGGTTCTTTAAATACTAAGCCAAATTGGTGTAAAAAGGATAGAATACAATAAGATTAAGTCCAGCTACCTGAAATTCAGTAAAAGAGAAGGCAAAATAGTTGATTTCAAAGACACAACAAACTGGAAGAAATGAGATGTGCTCTATATGATGTAACTGTCTCAAAACCAAATAAAGAACTGAGTTTTCACTATGAACATTCAAGATGAACCTGCCTCAGTTCATTTTGTTTCTATAACAGACTACCTGAAACTGGGTTTTTTATAAAAGAAAAGAGGTTTATTTTCTTCAATTTTGGAGGCTGAAGTCTGAGTTTCCGTGGTTCCATCTGTTTGGCTTCTAGGTGCATTACAACATGACGGAGAATTCAAAAGAAAATGGTCAACAAGCAGAAAGTACCAAATATGTGAGATCGTCTTCCTGCGTAACAACCCACTCTTTCAAAAGTTAACTGCAAAAATCAGCTGTTAGGGATCAGCATCAATTCCCTCTGAGAGTGGTAACCCCATGATCAAATCACTTCCCCCTAGTCACTTTACCTCTTAATAGTTCTACCACTACACTGGAGACCACTGGAGTCCATGAGCCCATGGGGCATACTCAAACTAAATCCAAACCAAATCACAACTCTCTCTTACATTTAGGACTCTCTGTCCCATTAGAGAGGTTGTAAGAAAGGGAAGTCAGGTTTTCAGGAGAACTTTCTTTTCTTTCCTTCCTCCCCTACCTTCCTTCTTACCACTAGAGGAGTCATTATTATATTTTCCTGTAACAAATCTTTCAACATACTTCTCCCTAAATCTTAGCTCTCAATTTGGAAGAGATTCTTAACATTTTGTCATTTTTGTTCTTAAAGGGCACACAGCAATGCAGTGCTACTTATGGTTGGTGCTTGCTCATTAAGCATTTTATAAGCTTAAAAGTCAGATGCAGCATGATGTACAGAGGGTTCTGATCCCGCTTCATTCCCCTATAAGATGAAGTGGCATTGCTTGTCTCAGACAGGGATCAAAGAGCACAATGATCCTTTAGGAAAATCATCCAGTCAAACACCAGATAGTTGTTCTAGATGTAGACGAAATGAAGTAAGAGTATCAGAATGGCAGCTGAAATTTCCATGGGTATTTGTTTGACTTTTGAGATAGGCTCTTGTTAAATAGCCTAGAATGGCCTGGGACTCCTGTGTAGTCCAGGCTGACCTCAAACTCAGGGTCTTCTTGCCTCAAGCTCCCATGTGATGGGATTACTTACATGTGCCATCATGCTTTGTTTCCCAAACAACTCAATTTTTTGACATTCAGGTCTTTTCCCTTTTCTTTCTCTTTTTAAAAAATTTATGTATGTATGTATGTATGTATGTATGTATGTATGTATGTATGTATATGCGTGTATTGCCTGCATGTAGGTAAGTGCACCCATGTCATGCAATGCCTGTGGAGGTCAGAAGAGGCTGTTAAATCTCCTGGGACTGGAGTTACGGACAGTTGTTAGCTGCCATGTGGGTGCTGGGATTCGAACCTGGGTCTTCTGCAAGAACAACCAGTGTTCTTAACTGCTGGGCCATCTCTCCAGTCCCGCTCTCTCTGTTTTTAAGAGCAGTATATAAGATGTTCCTGATCTTAAACATTCCAGACCCAGAAATCTCTACAGAAAGAATATTCAGACACCAACTATCAACTCCTCTATTTCAGGATCATTCCCCCCAAACATACTTCATGTTCATGCTTCAACAAAGATAAATTCAAGGAAGCTCATGACTCAGCATGGAAGCCTATTCCTTTTGGGCGTAGGTCTGTTTAATTAGGAAAGCAAATCTCTCAATATTGAAGCTGAGCATGGTGATACACGCCTTTAATCTCAGCACTGGGGAGGCAGAGGCAAGTGGATCTCTGTGAGTTCAAGGCCAGCCTAGATTACATAGTGAAACACTCATCTATAAAAACAATCCTTCAAAAATTTTGGAAACAACAAAACAAACACATCTATGTTATAGGGGATGGAGTCGGGAGACACTTTTGAAAGTGGGGTGGGGGGCTTAGGGAAAGCATAGTCATAAAGGAATAGCAAAAGACCTGTTTAAGAAGAGGGGGTTCCAGAGAAGATAGCAGTGTGACAGAGGAAGTTCATTTCAAAGGAAGGGATAATGACCATTATAAATGATGATGCTTCCTTGGGTGCCATTTTGTGTCAGGTACCACCAAGCACTTCCTGTATATTTTCACATCAATCTTCCTAACACCTTTAAGTTTTGTGCTGTTTAATCTGTTCAATTTACAGGTAAGGATTACAGGCTCAGAGAGATGAAATGCAGCACTTAAAAAGTGATGACTGTAATACTTGGATATCATGTGGGTTCCTAACAGCTGTGTCCTGTCGGACTCTTACCCAGATAGAGCAAGAATGCTGGAGAATGATGTGTTACCATGGTAGCTTTCAAGAAAGACTGAATTTTAGGGAACTGTTATTTGGTACTTGTGTACAACAAGGTGTGTAGCACAGAGCCTGAGGAACCTGTCTAGTAGAATGGTGAACTACAGGAAGATGATAGTGGAATGGAAAAGAAGGGGAAGATAGAAGAGATACTTTAAAGGAACAAAGTCTTGAATAAACCAAGAAGATGCTAATGTGATCACTCAGATAGTCTCTAAGCTTCTTTATAACTGACAGAATCTATGCTGATTATAATTTTTGGATTTTATGTTTTAGATTGTATAATGTTAATATGTGTACAAATATATGAAAATAATGCAGTTTTCAAAAAGGTTAAAAATGTAAAATTCAATCACGGACAAGGAATTTATTTTCCCTATATATTTAAGTATAATATTTACTGAATCCTCATAACCAGCCTGCAGCTAGGGAATCATGATTCCTATTTTCAGTTTCAGAGGTCCCTTAGCTACCAGATGAGATTAAAATCTTACTGGGCAGAGTGTGGTGGTGCATGCCTTTAATCCCAGCACTCAGGAAGCAGGAGATGGATCTCTGTGAGTTTCAAGCCTACCAGTCTACATACTGAGACATGGTCTCATAAAGAGACAAAAAACAGGAACAAAAACCAACAAACAAAATCTAAACAACAACAAAATTAATTACTTCTCAATGATTTGACTTGTCTTTCATTATAACCTCTTTGAATAGGAATCACACACATACATAAGCACACATACATATAAACAACCTTAGCCATGAATACTGGGGGGAAAAATCAGAGACAACTTATTTTTGTTTAAATGTGAATGTGTTAAAACCAGATTTATTTTTGATATTATATAAACAAAATTTTTGAGAGCCTACTGTGTCCTAGGTGAAACTTAAAAACAGTTTAAGCATTTTATTCTTCTTAAAGTTTGCTGAGAGGAAAGAAACTTTGTCCTTGAACATAATGGCCACTCTTAATACTTTAAATAAATAGCATTTTTATCAAGCACAATATGTATGCACCCTTGGTTTTCACCCATTTTACTACAGCCAAGAAATGTAATGCACTCCATAGTCAGAACTCTGTTAGATAAAAAGGTTGTCAACAGCTCCATTAAAAAACCTACCCTGAATATTTGTGAATTCCTCCTCAAGATGTTTTCTTTCACTCTTTGTAACGTTTCTCCTGCATTACAGATGTTCTGTATATTCTTTGAGCTTTACTCCAAGTTGTCAGTTGTAATACATTTCAAATAGTGACATTTAAAACAAATATGCCCCAATGGTACTGCTCTTGGCTATGATCCTTCTGCATTCTGGAACACTTTTCATTTTCTTTGATAATATTCCTTGGCTCCCTAAAACACTTTAAAAAATATTCCTCTGTATATTTTAGAAGAGATACCACTGAGGAAAAGGTAGGGTGATGGGACACTGTAAGCAGTCAGACCACTGTTTGTTTTAAGACGTGTTCCTTGACTGTGTCCATTGCTGGTATTTTTTTGTCAGGGTCTCCAGTAGATGAGAAATGATGATCATAGTGAAGGTTGCAAGGAGACTTGGGAAAAAGATCAGTAAGATCAGCTCTTTTTCTCCATACATGATATGGAGAAATTCGTGTTTTTGAGTTTAACTTTATTTAAAAAACATTTGTCAATATTATACTCGAAGTAAACATTGTGATTTGATGCTTACTTATGACAACTGGATGAGATTTTAAGTGTCCTGAACACACATACACACACACACACACACACACACACACACACACTGAACTTAACTTTACATACATACATTGATTGTATCTGTTCCTGTAGCTAAGTAAAAAGCATTGCTCAACATAAGGTTTGACAAAAGGACTTATGACAATAATCCCGTTCTTATTTTCTTTTTCATGTATTTAGGTACTAATGAACTGGCAA